TGCCTATGTCTGACCAGTATGTGAAACTGGAAGAAGAGCGAAGGCATAAACAGAAACTGGAGAAAGACAAGAAAAAGAAAAAACAGAAAAAGGAGAAGAGAGGTAAACATCATCGCCATAACTCTCTGCACACGGAGAGTGAGGAGGATATTGCTCCAGCTCACCATGTCGATATTATAACAGAAGAGATGCCAGAGGTCAGTTGCTTTGGTTGGTGCTCTGAGTTGTGGGGTTCATCTGTGTGCTGCTCTTGAGAGATTTTTTTACCCAAGAATTGCCAGCCAGTCTATATTGTTGCAGTTCAAGAGCTCTGATTTCTTGCAAAGCTGTTGAAAAAAATGACTGATTGAGATGGTCCTAGGCTGTTCTTTGCAGGGGGAGAAATGATTGTCTTTCTGTGCACAAAAAGACAAAAATTGCCACTGAAGCCATTTAAAGAAAAAAACAAAACAAAAAACCCCCACCAATAACAAAAAAAAAACCAACAAAAAAACCCCGACAAAACAAACAGTATGCATCACTGCTATAAAAGTAACACTGTCCAAATAATCACTTCATTTATTATGCTCTGCTGCTTCACTTTGATGTTAACTTGCTGTCTAGTCAGCAGGTTTGCAGCTGATTATAATTAATTGCGCATGCTAATGATGTAATCTGTATTTGTTCTTAAAATTTCCTTTAATCAACACTGAACAGCGGCAATTCAAATCCTGCAGTTTGTGAAGAATGGTTTTCTGTTCTAAATTAATCTTGGAACTAGATGTTGCATTGAAGTGCATTGTTCCTATAACTTACTGTGCTTGATTGCAAGCTGGCCTGTTCCAGGGTTAACAATCTTAAACTGGTTTGGGCGATGTAAAGCTTTAGTTTCGAAATTGCATGTGGTTTGCTTCTTCAGTAGATGGTCTCTTTATCTCTCCTGCAGAATGCTTTGCCCAGTGATGAAGATGACAAAGATCCGAATGATCCATATAAGGCACTTGATATAGATCTGGATAAGTAAGTGACAGTTTTTTGTGTGAATTTAGTTAATTGCTAACCAGAATGCATGAGGGCAGGTCTGGGGCTAAACAGGCAAAGGCACTATCTACAGTCCACTAGGTGAAAAGACTAAGTCTCGCCATGTCTTGGATGTAACCTTAGGTGATCATCCAGACTTGGGTTCCCACTGCAGCATAGATGATAAAGGCTAAGCTGCTGAAGTAGTGGGGGTTTTGGGAGGGGCAGGGGAATCATTTTGTGTGACTGAATGAAGTCTGAAAACACAGGCAGTGTAGCTGGAATGAGATGTGAGAGAGTTAGTCTGAGCTTTTGGGCGTACCAGTATCTCTCAGATCTAACCTGCATTGGCACTGAGTGTGTCCTGCATTCATCTGTGTTCATCTCAAAACCACTGTACATGTGGCAAGCCTGCATGCTCTGCGTTGTGATCATTTGACCAGTAAGAGCCAGTTTGTAGCATCCCCATTGCCCTGTGGACATTCAGTGTGGTTCCACTGTTGAAAAACGTTCCAATACAATTGAGTGAACTGCATATCATAACTTTGACCGGAGTCTGGTCCCCATTCAGCTACTGGAGTTGTTTACAGTACTAGCACCCCAAGCTGCAGTGCAGCAGACTCTGAATCCCTGCATGCCACATGATAATTAGCAGTGGGCTGTTAAGTATTGCATATGGAGATTTTTTTTAGTTGCTGTTTTACAAAATTGCCACGCAAAAAATAATTGCTGATTTATGGTCCATGGATGCCATCTGCAAAGTTTTGAAGACTGTGCAGGCACATCTGTGCATGTGTAGTACCCCTCTCTCTCTCTCTCACTGATACTTAGCGTTAAAGTCTGTGCCGTTCTCTGCAATTCTCAAATCTGCAGGGATTTGGCCCTCGGTACCTTGCAAAAAAGTGATGTATCATTTTTAAAAAGTGAAAGAACAGTTTCTGAAAAACTTCCTTTTTTCATGAGCTGGTCACATTCCTCTGAGTTCTGCAGGGGACAAATGTAAAAGGAAATTAATTTCTGACTATAGACCTCGTTATTTGCATGACAAGCCTCAATAGCTTAGAAAACACTGAGCAGAGCAGTTTCTGAATGCTGTGCTCCAGGAGGCATCTTTGGACTTTTGTATTGTTGCCATCCATTCTCTTTCCATTTCATATGAGTCGGTGTGCTCTCCTGTCACGTTTTCTCATGTCTCTGTCCTCTCTCTTTCTTTCTGTGCTTGCACTGCTATGTCTGTGTCACGCTCACATGCAGTCTGGTTTCAGGGAAGCCTTCCAGGTAAGAATATATTGCTAAGTGGTTGACCTTCTTTGTCAGGTTGGTTGATTTTAGTGGACAGTGTAAATACTCGAAGGGTGGTGAAACTGTTGAAATCATTGACCCTCAAATTGGTGTGAGTCTATTTCATCATTGACTTTCAGCACCAATCCCTGTTCCTGTACAGGTATATGTGAAATAGCTTAAAGATGAGATCTGTTTACTGTTCAAACAGATGGGGTCCATCTTGCCCTTACAGTGTCTGTTTCAAAGTAAAAAATGAATTGGGTCTGGTTCTTCATGCAATATAAGCAAAAAAATTAAGGCAGGTGAGACCATTAGAAATCTTCCTGAACTGATATTTGCTGCTCAAACATGAAAATTAATGTTAAGTAAAAGCTGTAGAAATAGAAAAAGAGGCAATTGGTGAACTTCTCACTGATTTCTGGACAGTGTTTGACAAGAATGGAGAAATTTCTGTGGTGTTTTTTTCCCAAGTAATGGATTTGGGATACAGTGTAAATCTGAACTACTACTCATGCTTTTTGGAAACAGATATCTGAAATTAAACACGACTTTTTAAATGTAATGGTAGAGTACAGATTCATAGCGTAAACTTCCAAAATGAAACAATTTGTTGCTTAAAGTAATTTCCAGTTGGAGTGATCTGTTCATCAATAACAACAAAAACCACGCCCTTCAAGGGCTGTTTGAGCCATGCTATCATTCCACTGCTTGAATTTCCACACTGTTGCAAATGCTTCCTACTGTTTCACATCTTTGCTCTTCCTTTGAGAGTGGTTCCACAGAAATGCAGCATGACGCTATGTGTATGTATCGTTCTGTAGGTGTTACTCAGCCTGCAAGTCTGTAGTTACCGCTTTTAAGAGTGATCAGGTGTCAGCAAGAGCTTGGCTCTCAGTCACCTTCAAATTGTTTCTATTAACTTCTAATCCACGAGGGCACTGTCTGCAGTTACTTCTGTACCTGAAGTTTATTCATGTATGTGCCAATTTAAGATTTTGGGGCTCAACTCTTTAAAAACAAAGCATATCTTATCTTGGATGTCCAGCAGATAATCTGAGCTAAGGGAGACTGTTTGCAGAAGAGTAATGGTCTCTTTATTTTTAAGACCCTTAGCAGACAGTGAGAAGCTGCCAGTGCAGAGACACAGAAATGTTGAGACCCTGAAGTCACCAGACTCAGAAGTTCCCCTAGCAGAGAAGAAGAGCAAGAAACCCAAAAAGAAGGAAAAGAAACACAAAGAAAAAGAGAGAGACAAAGGAAAGAAAAAAGAGAAAGAGAAGAAGGTAGTAGAGGAGGAAGAAGAAAAAAAGGTAATTCTCCAAGACTTGCATTATTTTAGAAACCGCTGTTATGGGCCATGTTTATTGCTGTGTTTTGTTTGTTGCTTAGGAACAGTCACATTTGACAATTCAAACAGCTGAATGTTTTCACCCTTTATTTCTTTAAATTTTTACAACCATAAAAGCAGGTATTTAAAGATTTCTGTTAATAAAAATTACGTTTACTTAGCCTCATAAGTTAGCAGAATTCAGCTTACTGCAGCCTACACAGCAGATCTTCCAGACCTAATTTGGAAGCTGAGTTTACTGATACTTTGTCTGTTCTTAAAATGGGGAACTCTTTAGCAAAATAGCTGGAACTCAGTTTTGTTCTACCTCCTGTCCCCTGTATACTTCAGAATCTTTCCGTTATAAAACCTGGCATTAGTTGTCAGTTACTCTGAAGACTTGAAGTACCTTTCTTGTTAAGCACCCTGCAGAGATGCAGGTTTCTTCTAAGATGCAGCCATGTGCTTTGAATGCCTGTAGGTACTGTGATATGTGGGGTAATTTGCAGTTACTGTCAGCTATGTCCAGGTTTGGAAGCGTGCTCAAAGGCTCAAGTTAAGCTTCGTGAAATATTTGCTTCTAAATGTATTGCAGCATCTGTGTATGAGCATTCTGGAGCGATGCGTTTCCATGAAAACTTAAGGCTTTAATTTAATTGATGATTGTTTTGTCTGTTTTGTTTTTTTAAAGAATGGTATCAAAACAAGCATAATGGTTTTGTTTTCTCTTGAAATTCAGGGGGAAGACTTGGATTTCTGGCTCTCCACTGCTCCACCATCTGCTTCCACTACCCAGCCACAGGTAGACATCTTACCGCATCACAGGAAACTTTTTCTTATGATTGCATCTTAGCTCTGATACGAGTGCTTTGTCATGCTGCAGGAGAGAAGGGAAAGATAGGCTTCATCTCCCCAACTTACTGCTATGACATTTTATCTCCCCAGTTTACAGACACTGTAATGCGAGGTTTGAAGCTCATTCTGCTGTGCAGATCAATGGGTAGAAATACAGATGCAGCTACAGGCTTGGTGGATTTTAATATTATTGGTGGTTTTTAATATTCTATTATTAGTGTATGGTTTTATTTCCTAGTATGAGCTAGACACTAGCAATATTAATAGACATGAGAGAGACAGTCTGAAAGAAAAGGTCTCATGAATTTTGATGGGAGATTTTAGAGGAAGAGACAGGGAATATAAGGGGATGGATTCCTTGGAGGAAATCTTTTGTATCTTGTCCTCAGGTGATTATACTTCCTGGGTTTCAGAGGCATAAAATGAAAGGCTTGATACCATGTTAGTCTAATGTAATTTTTGAAATAACAGTTGATGTGGGGAGGAGTGTCACTGTTAAGATTTCTTTTGGTGTGGGACTCAGTTGTTTCAACTGTGTTCCGTTAGTGTCATAATCCTTCTGCTAATCTACTCAGAGTGAGCCTGAAGTGGGTGCTGCTACTGTGGCTGAACCTCAAGAGGTAAAAAAGGAAGAAAGGGAAGAGCGAGAGGAGGAGGAGGAGGATGAAGGAAAGGTAAGTGGTTTAAGTTGCTGACACCCTTAGCCATATTTTCCTAGTGTCTCGTATTAAAAAGAAGCACACAGGAATTACCAACAGCATCCTATTCAGTGTAGTGACCACCTGCAAATAGGCAGCAGTGGGATGTTACGCCGTTGAGGAGCTGTAAACACTGCATAGTAAGAGGTTTGGTTGTTCCTTGAGCCAAGGGTCAGGTAGCAGTTTTAAAGCTGAGCTTCCAAACAATTGAAGAAATTTGGCCTTCTGCTGATCCCAGGCTGCTTTGGGTTAAGGCATTGTCCTCTGAGTGGGGAGCAAGAGTTTACTGGGACTCAACACAAAATGACTATTGGGGTTTAAGGAATGGGAGCTCTGTTTTGGGTTTCTGTGGTAGTAGGAAACTATGTTCAGTCATCCAGAAGGCTGCGCAGAGCTGAAAGATTGGTAGAGGGGTCATGACGTAATGGCTGGAAATACAGGGTTTCTTTAAGGGTTTGTTGTAGTTTCTTGTTCTTCTTGGTAGAAATCCTCCAAGCATAAGAAGAAGAAGCACAAGAAAGAGAAAGAAGAGAAATCAAAGGATAAAAAGAAATCCAAAAAGAAGAGTCATCACAGCGAGGAGGAGACAACAGAGTCGGTGCAGAATGGAACACTAGATGATGAACCACTACCAGTGAGTAGCTGTGCACTGGCAGCGCCTGCCTTGGGGAAAAGGCAGGAGCTAAATTGTTTTGGGAGGAAGGAGAATGACAGCTCTTTTCAGAGAAATTAGTTACATTGCGACTGTGATTTCTTTCTTGTTTTTCAGCCTATGTCCAGTTACCGCCTTCTTGCTGAAAATCCATATATTAAAATGGTGAGGTTTTTGGCATTCAAATCCAGATGTCTTCTCTTTGTGTTCTCTAAGAAAAGAGGGGATACCCTGGGGATAGTGTAGCGACTTTATGTAGACAACATGCAACTGAAGAACTGTTTAAATCCCAGGAGGTAGAAACATAACGAAGCTCCATTTCCGTTCCTTTGGATGTCCCACTTAACAAGTTTTTAAGTCGGTATTTTCCCACTTCTTTCCCACTGGAGCTGATCACCAGTGCGCTTTTCATTATTCTGTAGCTGTACCAAATGACCTTATTTTTGAAGCTTGCTTTATTCTGATGCTGTATTCTGTTCTGGTGCTCTGCTGTTTGAAGTTTCTGAATCTTTCCTGTGATTTTTTTTTTTCCTTCATTTGCAGACCTATGATATTCAAGGAAACCTCCAGAATGATAGTCAAGTTACTGTCTCTGTTATCTTTGAGAACAAAAGCACTAGCTTCCTTAAGAGCATGGAACTAAATGTCCTGGACTCTCTCAACACTAAAATGCTCCGACCAGAAGGATCATCAGTACATGATGGGATACCTGTGCCCTTCCAGCTACCCCCTGGTATGCGCAGCTTTGCACAGGGTTCTTGGAGTATGTCTAGTCCTGCACTGCCCTCCTGTGGAAAGAATTGTTTGAACTTCTCGCTACTTGCCGTTTTCCAGAAAGACATGTCCCTCTGCCTGGCTGTTCACTGGGCTTTCACACAATTCACTGGAGAGGATAAGCCTTCTTACAGTATGGCTATAAACGCAGGTGGTTCTGTACAGCAAGAGCAAAGCCTATAATGTAGGGCTGGGAGTCCAAATGTCCGGTTCCTTTTTCAGGTGACTGCAGGTTGGCACGCCTTTGAACGTGCCAGCATCGCCAACTACAGGAATCCCAAATTTGCAGTTTGCTATGAGATTTAAAATGAAACAAGGTTATAGGTTCGTGAACCATTATAATCTGCTCTGGATTTATTCTCGAGCTATTGTTCCACTGTTTTAATGATAGAGGCCATGTGCAGTGAAAGTTTGTGATAAGTATGTGCTTATTTGGATGGGGAGCTGAACCCTTAAGAAATATTAGACACGGAGTTGAAGGACAATGGCTTCATACATAGTACAGTTGAATCGCTGAACTTCTTTGAATTTCACTTCACCGCTTCACGCTTCGCCAAAGAGTTAGTTTGAATCCTGAAACAGCTCACAGAAGTTTTCTGGGATTTAGTGGCTTCAGGGTGCATTTTGATCCCGCGTGAAAAGCAGTGGGGTATTTTTTTTTTATTCTATATAAGGCAGTTCTTGACACAGACTTGTATATTAAAAGAAAAACATAGAAACATTAGCATTCGAATTAGTTCTGAAAACTACTTGGAAAGGTGTATATTTTCCAGTTACACAAACAGTTTAAATATATTGCCACTGTGACATACTTTGCCCAGGCACTCACTCAATAACCTCTACCAAATGCCAGCTATTACTGCTGCTTTTCTGAGACCCAAGAGCTAAGTGCTGTAACACTGTTAATTCACAACAGGAATTGTGCATACAACTCTCTTCCAACTACACGGAAAATTTCAAACTTGGTTCAAAAATAGTCAGTACATAAAGCTTAGCTGCTACTGATCAGTTTATCTAACCATTACTTAGATATGGAAACCATTTTTTGACCTGACTTCTCCCTCTCCTCTCTTCATGCTAGGAATCTCTAATGAAGCCCAGTTTGTGTTTACACTTCAGAGTATTGTTATGGCTCAGAAGTTAAAAGGAACACTGTCCTTTATAGTCAAAGTAAGTGCAGCTTTAAACTCTGTGTTTCTGCTTCCTTTGGAACTGCATAAGGGAGCTTGACTTGGGTGGAAAGCACTGCTTTAGAGCTTTTCTTAGGCATCATTTCATCTCCGCTGCACCAGCCCATTCTGTGATGCGAGAAGTATTTTTACATGACATCTTGTGCAAAGAGTGTCCCGAATACTGTGTAAGCATGTCCTAAATTGTCATTCCTGGCAGTGTGTGAGCAATGCAGCCTGAAACATATGCCACATTGTCAGCTAGAAAATCGCTGCAGTGGTGCATCTGCTGGGGAGAGGAGGTCAACCAACTAGCGAGAAATGCAACCCAGAGTCTGTTTCTTCTGACCTCAGTTACCCGAAGATCAGTTGGACACTGCTACCTGGTACAAGGCTGGAAAAATAGTAATAAGAATTAGATACAGTTAATAAGGATGGAAACCCAGAACAAGAATGAGGTTAGCTGAAGGCATTGTTTAATAACAATCGACCTGTATAAGACTATGTGGGTTTCTAATCTTATTTCAGTAAAATTATTAATGAAGGAGCTGCATGAACAGCTCGAAGGAAGTGAATGGAGACAGTTGTGGCTACTTCTGAGTCAGCCATTATCTCTATTTTAAGGGTTTCTTAAAAATAGTATACTAGTCCTATTTTCAGTACCTAAGAATCCGGGAGATACTAATTTATTATTTTGCTTGGGAACTAGTGAACTGTAAAATCACATGTCTAAGTGTTAGTTTAAATTCAATCTGCTCAATATATTTCAGCAGAGTGCAATCAAAAATGCAGCCAGATGCCTCCAGTTGTGTCCCTTATCTGCTCTAGGTGTATGTATCAACCTAGCTGCCCCAATCTTTTCTCAAAGTGGCCTGATGTTGTAGCATGATGGTCATCCTCAGACTGATCCTTCAGGCCCAACCAGGGTATATCAAAGGGAATTGAGCCCTAAAGTCTTCGTCGGTGCCTGTTTGGTAGGTGGGGGTGGTGCCTCCTCTTGCTGCCTCGGGGCTCCCATTCATCTCCTTTCCTTTGACCTGTTGCAGAATGATGAAGGTTCAACCCATGAAAAACTAGATTTCAAATTGCACTTCAGTTGCGCTTCATACTTGATCACGACGCCTTGCTATAGGTAAGTGCCATTTAGGGAGCACAGCATTGGTGCTTTTGCCGCCCATGTGAAGCTGAGCTTTGGCTGCCGGCCATCTGTCCAAGATGCGCAGCATGCTTTTGACTTTGGCTGCTTGTGATTGCTTTGGTTACAGTTTGGTTATCTTGTGTGTGTTTGACAGTTAAAATATGTCCAGCAACTTATTTCAAGTGATTCTGAAGAAGGCGCTATATGCCCTGTAGGCTGGCAGAGGTCGTGTGGAAGTAGCTCTGGTTGAGGCCATAGGTTACTCCAGTGGAGTCTGGAGTATGGTTCCCATATTTGCTGTAAACCCATTTTCCTAGAGCTTGGTAGTACTTAGACTTCTGCATTCTGAGATGTCTCAAGGTCTGCATGGGGCTAATGTGGCAGATTTCACTTGAATTTCTAGTACAAGTGTTTAATTTCCTTCCTGTTTTGCAGTGATGCTTTTGCCAAGCTCCTAGAGTCTGGAGATCTGCACATGAGTTCTATTAAAGTAGATGGAATTAGCATTTCTTTCCAACATCTACTGGCAAAGATCTGTTTTCATCATCATTTTTCAGGTGAGTCTTCCTCGATGCAGAACCTTCTGCAAAATTCCATGTTCTAAAATTTCTGCTGTGCTTGGCAAGTGCAACACTCTGTGGCCTCAACAATGACAGAAGCAGGTGATGCCCAGATTAAATAAATTTGGGAGAGGAGGTTTTTTTCCAGTTTTGTAATACATTGGTATCTTCAAAGCATGCAGAGTTCTTCAGAATGAACTCTCCTTCTGTCCCTGTGGCTTTCCTCCAGTCCAGCGAGGCACGTGGCAGATATCACGGGAGCAGCTTGCTTATAGTTAGGGCTGTAACTGTTCTCTGGAGGGTGTATTTGATCTTCAGTGCTTCAGCCTACCTCTTTCCCCAATGCTTCATTTCAGTAAGGGAGAGCGTGAGCTATTCAAGTTTGGACTTACTAATTAAAAAACAAGTACTGGATGAAGCAAAACGAATGGCTGTTTCATCATGCTCTGGTGTATGCATTAGACGTTGCCTTACTGAAAATATTTCTGGGGAAGAGATCTACATTCTGATCAGCATTTTTGCCACAAAACATTTGCAGCTTACTTAAAAGACAAATGACTAACCTCGTTATTGTGAAATATCCCAGATAGGAGCCAGGAGGAGCCAGGCACGTACATCATCTTAACCCTGGGTTCCTCCTCCCCTCACTCAGTGGAAGATTCTATTCCTTAAGGCCAGGCAAAGCAGTAGTTCCTCTTCACAGGAAGCAAACCTTATATTAAAAGTTGTCCCACTAAATGAAAACTCCTGCTTTCTTTGTAGTTGTGGAACGCGTTGATTCGTGTGCATCAATGTACAGTCGTTCTATCCAAGGCCATCACGTCTGCCTACTGGTAAAAAAGGTGAGAGCATTCCAACACTCTGAAACAAGACGTGAGAGAAGCTAAATCTGCAGCCTTTCCTATCTTAACAGAAAGAGGGAAATGTTCCTGTCTAAATCATCCAGGGACACATGGGCGATTTAATTCATCTGGCCCATCTAGCAGTTTTTGCTGTGCTACTACCAAGCTTGTACCTCCCCGCGGGCTTTCTGTTGCCCAGCGCGTACCTGGTGGGTAGCAGCAGCGCTGATGGCTTTCCCAAACTGACCTCTCGGCTAAGCCTGCTTCGTTCCTGTGCAGGCTTCCCCGGCTGTTTCCAGTCCCTGAGTTTGGCTGGGAATAAAACTGTCCTCGCTTAGAAGAGGAGCTAATGGATTTCTTTTTTCTTTTTCTTTCCAAGGGAGAGAACTCTGTATCCATAGATGGGAAATGTAATGATTCCACCCTGCTTAGCAACTTGTTGGATGAGATGAAAGAGACATTGTCCAAGTGCTGAATATTCCTTATAAAATATTCCAACTACAAGAAACACACCTAACGTGTAAAGACGAGCAGACCCAAGTGTTAAGTTTCTCCCTCGTACGCATGTACTATCCTGGGGCACGTGCTTTTCAGTTAACTCCACCGTTGTTTGCAGTTTAGACATTTTAAGGCTGTATGTTACCTTTTTATTTCAAAACTTTTTACAAACTGTGGTGTTAACCCTTTCTAGCCCAAAGAGATCCCAGTGACGTGACTGGAGGAGGGAGGGAGGGACGGGCGCTATTTATTCAGCAGCTCATGATGATCCCATAAACCTTGCCATCTGCGTGGGATGGTGGACTAAGCAGAATTTTATCAACAGTAGCACAGAGTCTGTCGCTTGTGCTTATTGCCAGGGAAGGTTGACTTGATCCTTAGTCATGGAATATGTCTTCAGGGCTGCTGTAGTTGATGTACATTTCTAGCAGAGGCTGGGGCTGGGCCTGAAGGCCTCTTTTTTTTTTTCATATGATTTATTATTATTATTATTATTATTATCTCAAGATCTATTGTGATCAGCATATAAACATCCTCCATCTCCTTGAGCTAATCCAACTGAGCACTGTGAGAACTGGGATGTTTGAGTTTCTGTTTATAGTAGTTGCCTTGAGCCTTAACCTTCTTCTAGTGACAGCTGAAAGAGTAGAGAGTGAATGCATGGAACAGGCTGAAAGTGTTACTGTTTAGTTTTCTGCTCCTGTTGACCAACCCCCGCAAATGGAGTCTATCATGTCTCTCCCCTTTGAGCAGTCTCTGCTGATGTGTATTATGAGTCCACTTCAATTTCACATTCCTGAAAAGTTAGGGTGTATCAAGAAACTGGAAATCCAAAGGGGTCTGTTCCTGCTTTTTTATCATTTTGCTCACCAGCTGAGGTTGGCCACTACCAGGTTATACCAGGTTAGAGAAACGCCCACATGTGTAATCCCTTGTGCTCTGAACAGTTTGCAGATACAGCCCTGTTCCCTCCCTCTGTGCTGTGAAATCAGAGATGCCGTGCTGTCTCGGTTGTCCCCGTAGCATCCCCTGGCCCTGCCCTCGCAGCAGCGGATGCAGATTTAGCAGCGCAAGTGTGACTGGGTCCCTGCAGCAGAACTCTCCCTGCCTGGGTGGCAGGAGGGTGGGATGGTGAGGAGCTGCAGACTTGTCTCTGTAGCAGGTGACTTCAGAGGGAAGAAAGGGAGGGTCTACAAAGTGAAGCCCATTCTGCACTATTGAAATCTTTTGGAATCACTGACTGGAAAGGGATGTCACTGTGTCCTTTACAGAGATGCTTAATTGATGTCCATCTCCAAAATCTCTTGCTTTCGATATTTTTTTTTTCCCTTAGTTCTTTTTCTTGCTGTTCCATACCCAGCAAACTGAGAACACGCTTGAACGGTTTTGCCTTGAGGCACGGGTCAAGAGCTGCAGGTTGCTGTTCCTCCCAGGGGGGAGTTGGGTTGGTCTGCGCTTCTCCAGCACGGCCACTACTCCGACAGGTCCCAGCACCGCCCAGTAGAGTTGAACTAAAACCCTACGCAGGGAACAGGATAAAGTGTTGATCGTATCCTTTGGATGGATGTCCTGTACTTTAAGCGTGTCTTGTTCTCTTTACACTTTTCCCATATTAGGGTATTTTTGTGAAGGCTCTGCTGTGGTTTTTTTTGCTAGGACCAGCTTCGTATTCTGACCACACTTGTGCGCTGCAGGAATTCCTTTGCAGCGGGCTTCACTGCTGGTGAAGTGGTAGGTTTTGGTATTGGTCAACCTCCCTTGGTTAGCCAGTTTGTGTATTAGAAACTGAACATATTAAAATTGTCTTAAAGGATAATGTTCCTCAATTAGTGTTTTTTTTAATTCATGGATGAAAACTGTCACTTTAGCATGTAGAGTCTTCTCTTACAGAATCCTGTGCAGTGATTCTAGAATTTTGAAACTGTATGATGTGTTACATTCACAAATTTATTTGCTATCAACATTCCCTTAAAAAAAAAAAAAGAAAAAGAAAACAACATACCACAAGCTGCTGTAATGATTTTGTGTCAAGATGATCCAATAAACTTTCAAAACAAAGGTAAATTTTTGGCTTTGTAAATAGTCATTTTATAAGACCCTTCCAGTTTGTATGCACCCAAAAACATGACATGGATGTATCCCAGCTCTGAATGCTTGTGTCTTGGGGGGATGTCAGAGGAATCTCATTCCAAAAGCTCTGGGGGAGGTAAGAGGTCATTTCTAACACCACTGTGTGGGGTGGTGGGTTTTGACTGGCTGGGGACTGGTGTGCATCGGCGAGGGGAGTCCTGCCAGTCCTGTATCCCTAATGCATGTCATGTACCTGTAGGAACAGCTCGAAGGCATGAATTACATGAGCAGAAAAGGAGTCTGTAGTAAGGGACACTGGGATGATGCTGTTCTTCATCGCTTGTATTTTAAACTGACCTGATTTTTACAGGCACCAGAGCTTTGATTTGTACACACTTTGAATAACTAACTGGTCAGGCTGTCAGGTTTTAACACTCCTTTGGAAGGCAGCATTGCAAGCAACAGTTATCACTAACACAAAAATTACAGGGGAAAAAAAAAAGTAATTCAGATGTCAGTTAAAGCTGCATTAATTTTTTTCTTTTGTTTTGGATTGCAATTGCAGCTAAAATCTAAGCATTTGTGAAAATCGGACCTCTGGTCTTAATGAGATGTCTAGAAGCTGAAGGACAGAAATCAGCCCCTTCTGTCTCTTCCTCTCGGCCTGGCATCCAGCAAAATTTGTGACAGAAACATGGTAGTGTTAATACGAGGACTAAGGTCCAGTACTGTCGCAACAGGAACGGAGGCATTGGTTTTGCTGATACTCTCTGGTTGCTAGTAAGACCAGAACCTGTGAAAATCGTCTCTTCCAATGGAAAATACCTGGGGCTGCGTAGTCAGGAGCTACCAGCTCTGCGCTGAGAAAAACCCATGAACTTGCATGAACTTGTCGGCCCCATTATTGGCAGATAAGCTCCTGCCGTGGAAGGAGGCACCAGGTCATTTGTTTTCTGCATGCGGTGCGAGTCCAATACTGCAATCCGACAGTGGCCTGCCGGGAGGCTGCCTGCTTGCCCTGCTGAGTTGTGGGACTGCACAAATCTGATTAAACAGGATGAAAACAACAACAAACACCCATCTCTTTGCAAATGCATGAAAAAAAAAATGAACCCAGGAAGCACTTGGGGTGAACACCGAGTATTTAGGGAGCTGCAGGAACTTAACTGGACAAGGCAGGAGTTTACAGTGAACCTGGCACTGTGCACTTCTGACTTCGAACAGTAAGACAGGCTCTTGCCCTGCCCTCTGCGTTTGTCCTGTCAAAATTCACTGAGCAGCTGGACAAAGAAAATCAGTCCTTATCTAAGTGTATTTTTGCACACAGTATGTTGTGAACGAATGCCTAAAAGGAACGGTGCTGTGCACCATCCTTGCGGGGACAGGAGAGGGCCACCCCAGAGGTTTGTGGTTGCAGCTGTTTCATGCCAAGTCTTGGGCAGAGCAGCATCTGTTCCTTGGAGGTGCCCAACCCTTCGCAACCGCGCGCTCTGGAGAGGCTGCCCCAGCTCCTCCCTC